ACCTCCTCTCTCTCTCTCTCTCTCTCTCTCTCTCTCTCTCTCTTTGTTGATGGAAGCAATAAATTCCTTCGAGAATAAATCAACGACCGAATAAATTAATTTGCAACGGTGGCGAAGGAGAACGAGTTCCTTGCGACAAAACGGTTCATTCAACATCTATCTTTCAGACCGGAGGAGACGAAAGATTAGATATAATTGTTTCGAAAATAGGAATGTTAGCAAATTTTTTTATTGCTGTATGTATAATTTAGTATTATTTGTTAATCAATTTTTCTGACATCAGAATCTTGTAAATCTATATTTTAAGTTTCTATATCTGTAACTTTATTGTACAAAGTTACTTTTCTGTTTTATGCTTAGAGAATTTAATAAAATAATATTAATAGAATAAAAATAAGAGAATATAGAAAAAAATGTTAGGAAAATTATGTTAATTTATGTATTTATAAGATTTTATAAAGAATGAAGAAAAATCTAATTTCAATAAAAAATTTAGCTTGCTTATAATTTGATATTTTTTACGAAACACATTCTTTTTAAATGCTGATAATAAAAAAAGTAAAGATAGTAAAGATAAAGATAATAAAAAAATATAAGATTGATACAAATACAATAAATAATATCAAGAGTACAAATTTTTATCTAACAAATTACATATTTATTATTAGACGATATGATACTCAGATGATAATAGATAACTAATTGATGATGAAATATAAAAATATTCAAAAAATATTCAAAAATAACATTAATATTAATATTAATGTTATTAATATTACTATTTATATTACTAATTTATATTACTATTTATACTATATTATTATTACTATACTATTTATACTATACTATTTACTATATTTATATTACTATTCATATTACTAATGTTATTATTAATATTATTATTATTATTCATGTTTATTATTGGTTTAAAGGCATTCTAATAAAAAATTTTGTTAGTTGCCATATTTTTTTTTAACACCAAAATTACATCTATTAATTTTAATATTAGAATATTAATCTTTTATAAAGAAAGCTCTAGCTTATGAATATGATGGAAGAATTTATTAAGTTGTGAGGAAAGTCACGTGGTTTACAAGAATGTCGAAAATAAGAATTAAGAGAATAAAGTAAACCGACAAGTTGCGCGTATCCGAGAAAATACACGTTGATTAACGTATTTTATATTCTGTTTATGCCTCTTATCGTTCGATTGAGAATCGTGCGAATTTTTTGCTTACCTGATAACGTGACACGTTCGGTTGCCTGTCAGCTGACCTTTCGATTCTAACGAGTCTCATACTATGAGCACGCACGCGTTTCGACATGACAGATGTGACTATCGCGATTACGCGGATTTCGCGCGCTTGTATAATTAACTCTTCGACGAGGGGGGGGGGGGGGTGTCAAATCCTCGACCGTTTGTCCGACGCAGCTTCCGAATCCTACATATAGTATATTTATCTGTGCACAGAATTTAGCTATGCTTACAGAAATCTGGGAATCCTTAAAAATATGTCAGCTAATTTATTCGAGCTTGTATTAATTTTTACTTGTAATAATGTAATTTCGAAGCAATTGAAATTTTAATTAAAATGCGTTAATTAGCTCGATACTCGGAAACTTTCAAAAAAACAAATAATCGTATTTACGTACGAATACGACGTTACGTAGTCGCGTAATTCTTCGTCCACTTTTTCCGAGTACGAAGGAAAGCGCGAACGGAAAACTCAATCGACTCATGGCTCTCGGCTCGGATCATATTATTTCCTTCTCCGTTTCCCGCGAATCGTCTCTTGCCGATGCTCGCCCCTGTTCTTTTCTCGCATTGCGATCGCAATACGATCGAGGCCAGACGAGATCCCGGGCCCAGATCCAGTGTCTGGATCCTTTTCGTCGCCCCCTTCGCGGCGGGCATACGATCTCGCGATCACGTGGCTCGATCACGAAAGTTGGAACCCACTTTCACGTGGCGGCGACTCGTCGGACCGGGTCCCTCTTTTTCTCTTTCTGTCCCCTTCTTCCCTCCCCCCCCCTCCTCTCTCTCTCTCTCTACCGTAA